AAAAAAAAAAAAAAAAAGGAAAACAGTTATATCACCAAACAAAAGGGTTTGTCCCAAAACAAAATGGCAATTTGGAAAGGGCTGAAACACGTATGTACTCCCACCGAACAAAAGTCTGCACTAGTATCTACCTTTTAGGGGATGCTAAAAGGCAAGTCCTTTCATCTGTTGAGATAGAGGGGTGGGAAGGAAATTTACTTCCTACTGGATATGCAAGGCATGCTGGATTTTGTAGTTTGCTGATTGAGCAAGTGCGGGAACTTTCTTAAAGCGACCAGATCTCACTTAAATAGGACTTCTGTATATTAATTAGACAACTTTGGGGTGGAAGGTATGGGATGGTATTGATTATGGCAGAACAGAACTAACATATGAGGCAGGGATTATGTAGCTGCCTGATATTCTAACTTCATTTAACTTTTCAGTACTCCAGTTAGGTTGTCTTTCTAATTTGCAGATGGGAGAAGAAACTTGATGAAATATTACATACATATAAGTGGAGGTGCCAGAATTTAAAATCGGAACTGCCTGTTTCCAAAATGTAGTCCACTTAGATTCAGATTTACAGTCTTTCCCGTTGAGTTGTATGTCCTCCATGCTCTTACAGCCTGTATCGCATTATTTTACATTATACTCTTTCATCTTTTCGATTGTTTGCCTGTACAGTTTTTGTCTCATACGGAGCAGTTATAACTCAGTACCTGTTCATCCTACTCCATATCTTTAGAGATCGTTCTGTTGTTTTTATAATGAAGGACAATAAGAGGAAGGATGACTAAATACAAAGAATTTTGACTGTGTTAATTATATTTTGCAAAAACTGCCTTTCAAAATAAGTTTAACTGCATAGTCGCCTACGGGGGTTTTTTAGCAACCCCTGCAAAATTAGTACCTAAAAATCAAAGACATTTGGTATTTGTGAATATTGACCACCTCCTCATGCATGGATATCCAACAGCAGCAGCACCCAGGAAATAGCGACTACAGCTCCGACTTCCTAACAAGGATAGCTAAGAAGATGAGGCCGGAGCGATCCGGCTCTCCCCCCTCTTATTCTCAGCCTGATGGAACATCCCCAACGAAAGCTCTGACCCAGCGCCTACTCAGGGTCACGTGGAGCGGGAGCTCACTCCCCGCGCCTTGCGGAATGACGCCAACTGGGTTGCCAAGGGAGGAGCAAGTAAGCACGGAAGGGGCGGGGCGAAGCCTGGCGGCCGGGAGGCGGGGCTGGTGGAGTGGAGGGGCGGGCTGAGAGGGGCGCGCGGGCGGGGAGGGCCCGGCGTATTATGGGATGCGGCGGTGGAATGGCGCTGGGCGCGTGATTTTGAACAAACCCGGGTCTGTGTCTCGGAGGCGCCGCCGCCGCCGCGGCTGCTGGGAGCCCAGGGAGCGCGGCGCGAGGAGAAGGCGGCGGCGCCGCCGACTTTGGTGAGTGTCAGTCCCCGGGGTGGAGGCATCCTTGCGGGCGGGCGGGCGGGAAGGGGACGCCGGCTCCCGCTGCGGGTGGTGGCGCAGGCGGCGGGCGCCGGACCTCCCCCTCCCGGAGGCTAGGCTGGTGGGTCGTGGCAGACCGCGGGAACCTGCCGGCTGGCAGCCGTCGAGCCTTGTCCCTGGGCCGCAGGGGGCGGGAGGATCCTCCGGACTCGGCCCCTTCCCGCCCGCACCGGGGAGGACGGCTGTCACCCAGCCCGGCCCGCGCTCGGCGGGCAGCCGGCCCTTCCCGGCGGTCTAGAGGAAGGGCTCCGAGGCTGTTGGTTGACACGCACCCTGCTCGGCCCGAGAACCCGGCCGTGTCGGCCCCGGGTTTCTGGGAACCGGTTTTGCTGCTGTGTCACTTTGTACCAGCCCCTCCTTTCCCTGCTGCCCGCCGCCCCGTTCTTCCTACGCCCCTTTGTATGGTGTCTTCTTCCTGTGTGTCCGTTTTCCTCGCGAAGCCCACCAGCCAAATGTCATAATGTTCCCGAGGTGCACGGGGGAAGGGAGCGGGCTGGGTCTTAGCTTGGCCCAGCAACGGTAAATACGCACCAGGGTGCGGGTGGACGGGGCTGGCGGTGGGCAAATAAAGTTTAAAGAGGAAGAAATGGTACTCTCAGCTCTGGCAGGCTGCATCTAGAAACGACGATTGGATTGGGTGGTAGCTAGCTAGCACTCGTTTAAGCCTGAACCTACTAATTTTAGATGAAGTTGTCATCCACGCAAGGTAAGGGAATGAAATCGCTTTTCGACGTCTGTCTTACTCTTCTTACACTAACTTTTTGGAAAGATAGTAAGTGGCCGTACTCGTAATTCAATTTGGTCTTTTCAGGTGGGTGTCTTTGAGCTGTTGTGGTTGAATGGCAGGATAGAATTCAGCGTTTGAATGGATGATTATGAAATATTTCAGAAATGCACTAAAGTAGTCGACTTTATTTAAAATATTCTGGTCTTCTAAGAAGCCTTGACGCTTAATTTTTTTTTCCTTAGGTGATTAATATTACTTAGGTTCTCTTAGTTATTAAGCTGCATATTGAGAAGAACTGATAGGTGGATGGATAACTTTGGGGTCTTTTTCTAAAAGCAAGCTGTTTATTTTTTTCTGTATTGGACAAATTTAGCAGTAGTGATTTTTTTTAATGTGTTTGACTTAGATCCTAAAATGTTTGACAAAGAATTTTGGTTTAGAGGTCTATTTTCCATGTTTGGAAGTTAGTTTTTCAATCTAAATGCGCTTTGACGTTTTAAACCATGGACAAATTGAGTGTCAATGTCGATGGACAGAAATGATCAGATGAAATTAACTGGGAAGAAAAATAGTTCGGAACTTTATTTTAAAAACCATATGTTTGACTACAGTATGTGCATGAGGATCAATGCCTGTAATTTACAAATGTGTCAGAGAGGTCAGGTGCTTTTGGAAATAGCTCAGCCTGTCAAAGTAGTGCTGACTGTGAAGGAAAGCGTCAGAGTTGGTGAATGACATGAAAGGTCTTGATTAGGTTTATAGTGGACACAGTGAATAAACAAAACACATTCCATCATCTCTCTTCAGTTGCTTTCTGAAAATAAAAGAGTTTGGGTTCTTTATTGTCCTTATGCCGCCTTCCTCATGGCTTTTGCTTTTCAAAACAAAAATATGCCACACTCGGGACCCCGCGGGTAGCTAGACTTCCTTTCGCTTTGCAGCCGGACCCGCAGAACCATTTTCTTGTTGTGGGGTGAAAGGTCTCGGCGTGGGCTGTTGTGTGCATTTGTATCTCCCTGTGCATTTGAAGGTTGGCGGGGCCGGCGGGAGGCTTCCCCGGATATGTGGGTGTGCGCCTCTTGGGAGGGGAGGGCGGTGGAGGGGAGGAGGAGGAAGGGGGAGGTTACTGGCGGCGGCGGCGGCGGCGGCCCGGGCTCGGGCTGTCGGGGAAGCTGCTGAGCTGTGATGGTGATGACGAGGTGAAAATGGCGGATCTTTCGAAATACAATCCCGGCCCCTGACATACCAGAGGCGGCGGCAGCGGCGGCGTCGCCGCCCCGGCTCCCTCCTCGGCCCCGCTGGTCCCCTGTAGCGCTCCAGTTTGGGCAAACTGGGAAAGGAAGCAACTGGACAGACCGTGCACAGGCAAAACAAGCACCTCCCGGGCTCAGAATTGCCCGGGACCTTCTGGAGCCCCCACCTCGGAGCCGGAGGGAGGAGAAAGCGGCAGCCGCCGGAGGTAGAGCAGAAGGGGATACCCGAGGGCTTTTCTGTCTTGAGAGATCATTTTGGAAGGAGGGTGGTTGGGGGGAGAGAATTGCGTTTGGATCAAGGAATGATTAGTCCTGAGTGCGAAGAATCAGTAGCTTCGTAATGACATCAACATTATTCTTTGAGTGTTAAGAGGAATCGAGTTTGCTCTTAGACCCAAGGCTGCTGCTGAGGCCTAGAGCAACCGCTAGCACTTACCATGATTTCCTGATACAATATTTAAAAATCTATTCTGGGGGGTGTCGGTTTGATGGTGTTTCTCAGTTTTGGGGGTTGTATGTTTCTTTAGGGAAGCAGAGCATTGACGTTTTATTTTGCATTTAAGCTCTCTGTCTCAGATCATAGTCTGTAACTTGTTGGGGTGGGGTGTGGATGCTCACATCTTTTGAGCATCTGAACCAGTTTTGTAACAAAATTGTTGTCTTTTCCTTTTATGCCTGTCATCAGTACAGTGACCCCATTGCCCCTGCCAATTGACAAATAGCAATTAAGAAACTGTCAGGCATAATAGGTAGGTAGGTAGGTAGGTAGATAGATAGATAGATAGATAGATAGATAGATAGATAGATAGATAGATAGATAGATAGACAGATAGATAATTAATAGACATCTATGTTTCTCCCCTTCCCTGCCACCTCTGCTGCTACCCCCAATTTATTACATGAATCTAGAGTATAAAGTTATGGAAGATTTTGCAGTAGATTTTATAATCCAAGTGAAATACAGTCTGGGAGCACTATTTTGGTAACAAGTTTTACCTTCATTTTTAAGAAGGAAACTATGATGGTCTGATCATACATTTGATGTGAGTATATTAAGTTGGTAAGGATGAATTGAAGACTGTCTTAATGTAAATACTAGACTTGGTAGCTCATTGTTTAAAGAATTGGAGAAATGGTTTGATTGACCTTATGACAGCCATAATTTTGTGACTTTTCCTAAAGATGCATGTATATGTTAGATTGTGCTGCTAAACTCTCTCTTTGAGCATAGCTGTAATGGTACTGAAAAGTTACATGTGAACCAAATTTTTATACATTAATTTGGGGACTTTTTCCCCCTTGCATTAGTAGAGGAAGTTCAGGCTAGTGACACTGGGTATGAAAGTGAACAGAGATGTGGATATTTAAAGTATGCCTACTGGTAATGTTCATGATTAGCAGTTATTTTTCTTCTTATGGTTTCTTACAAAGAGATGATGTCATACTGTGTCATATAGCATGTATTTTTTCATAGAAGTATTTGTATGCATGTGTATGACTGGCATTTGGCTTTAACTCAGCAGAAGAAAAAGGATCAAAAGACTTTTTTGGGAATAACTAAGATACGCAGTTTAATTTAAAACTCATTTGATATTGGCCTTTAGAAATTTGATTTTTTTTTTAAAGATTTATTTATTTTTTCATACAGAACTGGGGTACAGGCCAGAGATGCGGAGGGTGAGAGGATTCACCAGAGACAGAGTGGGGAGCAGAACAGGCAGATCAAGGAAGTACACTGCTGAGGGGAGCAGCGGGCGGGTCAGGAGAGGTCTGCCACACTATGTGGTCTCCTCCGGAGCAGACAGGAATCGAACTCATGCAGAAGTGGCTTTAGCGTCTCAGTGGAGTGCTTTAACCCGCTGTGCCACCAGGGAGGGCCTAGAAATTTGATTTTTTAAGAATAGCTTTTATGTTGTAGTTACTTGGTGAATTGCAACCAACTGCTAAATTAGTAGTAAATTATGAATTTTAAACATAATCAATATAAAGAGATTACGATATATTTTTGTTAATTTTTTTTCTCTTTTAATCACAGAGGGTTGTTGTCTTTTGTGGTTTTATTTTTAAAGGTTGTGATTAGAAATTGTGATTAGAAATTATTGTGATTAGAAATTGTCTATTAATAATTAGAATTAACGTTGTGTTAGATATGAAAGAATAGTTATGCCATTGGAAATAGCCTGGCATCTATTTTGGGAGAGAGTAGCATTGTAAATTTTACTTTTTTCAAACTTTACAATTGGGTGGCTGCATATTGTGCTAGGGATAGGGGATGCCTAATAGCAATTTCTTAGGAAATTCAAGTTTAGGAATCCCTGGAGGTAATTTTGGAAGCATAGATTTGGTAGGGCTTGAGAGTTGCAGAAAACTTTTATGTAGGAGAGTGACAGTCTTGGAGATGCATTCGGGAAATGAATTCTTTGACTTTTATGTTAGGTGTGTTGTAGCTTAGAAGAGATGGAGATAAAAATAATGTAATAGCCCCAAGCTTTGGAGATTTCAAAACTTGAGGGCAGTGGCAAGAGGACAAAGTGAAGGTGTGACCTGCATAATGATATGTAACAGGTTTTCATATGAGTTTCTGGTGTGCCACATAACCATCTTCACAATAACCCTTCCATATACTGAGGCTTAGATTATTGCTTGGGGTTACATGATAAGCATGAAAATGGATCTTTTTTATTTGAATCCCCATGTTTTACCCATCATGCTCATCTTAACATGAATAACCTGTTGTCACCCTTTAAAGGGAAAAGTATATTGTGACTACCAATATTAGATTAAATAATTTTGTTTTATTAAATTATTTAATTTTAGTTGTATATAAATGTTCCTTATGCTTATTGCTTTTATGCAAATATAAACCAAAATAAATATATAAATGTAATTTAGACAAAACTGTAACTGAAATGTAGATAAAATTACAAATAAAGACAAAAACTGTATTTCAAAGTAACTTAAATTTAGGGTGATGGATGATGCTACTTCGCTGAAATGAAATCTTTGTGTTGTGAATTTAGTATCATATATTTCAGCAAGGCAAGCAGTTTTCTATATACTTTAAATCCTGTGATAACTCAGTTCCTGCATCACTTTTGTGTGCTTGAATGCGGTAAAGCTTTCCTCCTTATGTCACAAATTAGGTCATCTGACTTTCATGGCATAACTATTTACCTTATAAGACCTCTGTATCTCTTTATCCCATCCTAGGCTGGTATCATTGATTGTGGTGTGAAGCAGTACCATATAATCCAGAATATACTTTTAAAAATGTATTTTTGAAATGAAAACAGACTTTTCATATCTTTCTCAGAACTCATGGCTTAAAGACTACTAACCCCAGTTGAGAAATGTAGTTTTGTACCTAGTTTTTGAGTTGTTTGATTTTAGAAATCAAAATTAAAATCCAAATGGTATAGCTATTAGTTAGTGATGATGGTGAACTCCAGATACAAAAGTATTAATTCTTAAACCCGGAAATATTTCTGTATGAGCAATGACAAATTATTTTTTAAGGATTTATTTATTTATGCATACAATAGCTGGGGTATAGGCCAGAGCAGGGAGAGAGAGGAGGAGTAGGGATAGAGGTATTCACCAGAGACAGAGTGGGGAGCAGAACAGGCAGATCCACTGAAATACTCTGCTGAAGGAAGCAGCAGACAAGACGTAGAGGACTGCTATGCCATGTGGGTCAGCTCTCTGGGATATAACTCATGGTATAGTGCTGCTTATAGCTTGATGGTGGTGAGGCTTAACTTAACCCTTGTGCCACCAGGGAGGCCCCTGATAAATTATTCATCTGTATTGTGGTGATAGGTCATTACTTAATATCTTTATATGCAAGAATGAAAACAGTTGTTTACCTAGGTTGTCCACTTGTAATTGAGAAAACAATAGTGTTTCAGCACTGATAAGAATCTATGAGAGGACCCTCCCTGGTGGCCCAGTGGGTTAAAGTGCAACACTAATAAGCTAAAGCCACTTCCACATGAGTTCAATACCCGCCAGCCTGCCAGGGAGGTGACCCACATGGCGTGGCAGACCTCTCCTGACCTACCTGCTGCTCCCCTCAGCAGTGTACTTCATCGATCTGCCTGTTCTGCACCCTCACTCTGTCTCTGGTGAATCCTCTCACTACTCCTGCACCTACCTCTGGCCTGTATGTATACCCCAGTTCTGTATGC